TACTTATTCTGAAGCCTGCTAACCTTTGGCTGAAGACAAATTTATCAGGTAAATAAACTGAAATAAACAAGAAAACACAAAGTCCCTGTTGTTGGACTATATTGGAATCTAGTGTGGATTAAGGTCCTAGTAACAGGGCAGTGGGGGAGGTACAGTCTGGGGAGAGGACAGGGAGGGAAAGTCTATCCCTGGAAGGCCATGGCACTCCCTTCTGTCACATACATAAACACACTCTCTGTGGACAAATTTACTCCACCATGTATCCGGCCGGGGGGTCAAGTCAGCCAGTAAACTCTTAATCTAACAGACTTTGTGCTTTGTGAAGGGTTCCGGCCTTTTGCCATCCCATGCTGGGGGCTTCGCTTTACCTACCATTGGCAGGTATAGGGGAGAGGACTTCCAGTGGGTTGTCCTTACTGGCCAATAGGGATGGTTAAAGGAAGAGGAGGGTGGGGAAGGGTGTCAGATCTGTCACCCTGGACCCCATGGCCAAGCTAGTCTAGTTGGCAGGAATAATTAAAACAGCTCTCCTGTTCACATCCAAATTCCTAGAAAAAGCTGTCTGGACTTCATGTGTTTACTTCCTCTTCTCCAATTCACTTCCCATTCCCTAGCAATCTGGCTTCCGACCTCACTACTTAATTGAAACTGCTCCTTCCTAGCTAGATGATAATAATAACTAGCATTTATATATCACTTTAAGTTTAAAAGCACTTTACATACATTTCATTTGATCCTCACCACCACCCTGGGAGGTAGGTGCTATTATCATACCCATTCTACAGCTGAGCAGAGGCAAACAGCAGCTATGAAGCTCACTCAAGATCACACCACTAGTGTCTAATCTGAACTCGGGTCTTCCTGCCTCCACGTCCAGTGCTCTATCCACTGCACCACCTAGCTGCCAATGGTTTTTCAAACTGCTCTGATCGCTTTTTTTCTCATTTACCTTTCTTGACCTATTTACAGGGTGTTTTGATACTGTTCACCAATCTCACCTTTCTACCATCTTTTCCCTTGGCTTTCCTATGAAATTGCTCTCACTTGGTTCCCCTGACTGACCACTTTTCCTCATTCTTCTTTGTCGGCTCAGTCTATGTCCTTCCTTATTAGCTATGACCTTTTTTCTTCTTCTGAGGTCATCCCACACCACCAATTGTCTGCTGGACATCTCCAACTGGATGTCTCATAGGGATCTCAAACTCCACATTTAAATAGAATTCATTATCTCTCCCCCCAAACCCAACCCTCCAAACTTCCCTATTTCTCCCTCTTCCTCATTGACCCCTCCCACAAATATCAAATCCTCTAAGTTTTACCAGCACAGTATCTCTCACCATCTGTACCCTTCTTTCCACTCACCACAGCCACCACCCTATTATTTCATGCCCTCATTGCCTTTTTTTTTTTTTGGCAGTTGGGGTTAAGTGACTTGCCCAGGGTCACACAGCTAAGTGTCAAGTGTTTGGTCTGAGGCCACATTTGAACTCAGGTCCATCTGACTTCAGGGCCAGTGCTCTATCCACTGCGCCACCTAACTGACCCCTCACTGCCTCTTGCCTGGACTTCTGCAACCAACAGATTCCAGGCTTTTCTTTCTCTAAGCTCTCCTCTACACAATCATCCTAAAGCACAAGTCACACCATGTCACACCTCTACTTAAGAAGTGTTAGGATAAAATAAAAACTCCTTTGTCTGGCCTTTAAAGCCCTCCACAATCTGTCTCTAGACTACCTTTCCATCATTAAACTGTTAATTCTCTTCTCTAAGTTTCTGGGAAGGCTTGAACCAGTCTGCCTCAATCTCTAATACCATCCACCCAGAAGTAAATCCCTGCTTATTCTGAAGCCTGCTAAACCTTTTATCAAGGAGATAGGCATGCTGAAATAAAACAAGAAAACATTTCTTATGACTTTCCTTTATATACTTCATATTCCAGTCAATCTGGCTTATTTGTCCTTTGAACTTGATCTGACACTCCCTCATCTGTCTTGACACCCTTGTCCTCTGCATTTGGAACGTAACTTCTTTCTCATCTTCTCCTCTCAGGATGATTGTCTTCCTTCACAGCTCAGCTCATGTGCTATCTCCTTTGGGAAGCCTCTCCTCATTTCCCTGTCAGGACATTTTCCTCCTATGCATGTATTTTAACTGTCTACACCAGCAGAACCAAAGTTCCTTGTGGGCAGGGACTGCTTTTCATTCTCCTACACAGCAGGTACAGAATATTATCGCTAGATTGGATTCGAAGCTAACTGATGATCTGCAGAGGGTCTCATGCCTGTATCCTAAGGTATCTGTCCATGGTCAGTCCTTCTTCACCAACATCAACCCTCCACTTCTGCCTCTTGCTCCAGGTGCAAAAATTTCTAGTTATAGTTCTGCCCAAAGCTTTTGTTTTGACAGTGTGGGGAGTGGGAGATGGGATCAAAAATGCTGTGGACGTCTGCCAACGACAAAATTATTGAAGTTGTTCCTGTAACGGCATATAGAAAAAGTTCCTGATTTAATGAACACTCATTTTCCTAACTTCTATGGTTAACTTATTAGGCACTTGAACCTAACTGCTCTAATACCAAGATCATCCTTGCTAAATCTTCAGATTCTCTCCGGAAACCTAGGTAGCCTACTTTATTTTAGGATATCACTTCCATTATGAGTTATCCCTCTGAAATTCATCCATTTTAGTAGGCAGGAAATTCCTTCCACATATTCTGGCTAGGACCTGAAGAAAGCACTTTTAATCCTAATCACTTAAAATTACTTCTCTTTACCCTGAAGGAGTATGTGCAAAAAGCCTTCCTACAAAAGGCACACCCCCAGAATATCAAAGAGCCACAATCAAATGAAAATACAAAAAAAACAGGTATTTTTGGTTACCGGTCATTTTAGCGATGTACATTACGATTACAAGTAGAATAACTGAAGGTATTCTGTTAGTTCCTATGTTTTACAATACGGTAAGGGAAACTCTCTTCTTTCATTTTGGCTAAACTCCTCAAGGCCGCCTACAGATGATGTCTCCACTTACTCTCCTCTCACTCTCTTCCTACCTCTCTGCAGTCTGGCTTCCCGATAATTCCATTCAAGCGGCCCTCTCCAGAGTCAGCAGCGACCTCTTAGTTGCCAAACCGGGCGGCCTTTTCCCAGTCCTCAGGTCTTGACAGTTCCGCAGTCTTCAGCACTGTCAATCCCTTACCTCCAGTTGCTGATCTTCATCCAGTTCATGCTGCTAAGGTGGGTGTCCCCTTGAGGTTGCCCAAGGCCTCTTCTCTTCTCCCTCTCTACTGTTTCACTTGATGATCGCATCAGCTCTCGTGGATTCAATTATCATCTCTATGCAAATGATTCTTGGGTCTACCTACCCAGTTCCCCTAACCTCCAGCCTCACATCTCAAACTGGATATACCATAGACATTTTAAACTCAACGTGTTTGATCAAAACTTCCTTCATCATCTTTTCCCTCAAGCCCTTTCCTCCCAACTTCCTTATTACCATCAAGGGGACCACCATCTTCCCAGTCCCTCACACTAGAAACCTTGGTGTCATCTTGGAATCCACCCTCTCTCACCCTCCACATCCAATCTTCTGCCAAGGCCTATTGATTCTACCTTTGCCGTATCTCTCATATACACCCTCTTTTCTCCTCTGTCACTGCCACTATGTTGGTGCAGGCCCCTCATCACCTCGCATCTGGAGTATTGTGATGATTACTTTCTGAATGCTCTCCCTGCTTCCAGTCTCTCTCCACTCTAGTCCACCCCCCAACTCAACCATCAAAGTAATCTTCCTAAAGCACAGGTCTGACCATATGTCTCCCCCCACCCCCAATAAGCTCTACTGGCTCCATTAGCACCTCCAGGATCAAATATAAAATCCTCCGTTTGGCTCATGGTCTTTCGCCACTTAACAGCTTCCTACCTTTCTTAGTTCTGTTTGCTTCCACATTCTCCAGGATCCCGTGACACTAGCATCCACCTCCTAACTCCAGTGCCTCTTCCCTGGCCATCCTTGAGGCCTAGAATTCTCTCCACCTCCTGGATTCCCTGGCTTTCTGTCTCAGCTGAAACCCCACCTTTTATAAGATGTCTTCTTGATCTCCCTAGTATCAGTGCCTTTCACCAGAGAGCATCCCCAATTTCTTTTACGTGTATTTTGTTTGTGTGTTGTCTCTCATTAGACTGTGAGCTCCCAAAGTTTAGTACACAGCCTGTTGGCTTGATAGGTCCAGCACTGACAAGGGCCTATTTACTGAGGAGACCAGTCACCTGCTGTAGCTACAAATCTTATTTTTAAGAGACCATTACTAAATAATATCATTTGATACCAACCATAGTTAAATTTTTCAACCTGAAAAATATAAGGCTACATAACCAAGTGCTAAAGTGCCAAGAATATGCTGTTGTAGGTTTTTATCTCCAAAGCACTGTTATATGACCACCATCCCCTTTTACTACAGGAAAGCTATGTGGCTAATGGATACAAAGGAATCTGACCCTAAAAGGCACTGCTGTTTTAACTACTGATTTGCAATCAGTCATAACCATGGAGACCAGTTTTCTTTTTCTTCTAGAGTATTTAATAACAACTGCCACATAAGTAATACAGAAGAACCTGTCGTTAGGCAGTGGAAAGAGTGCTAGATTTGGAGTCAGAAGACCTGGGTTCAAATCCAGCTTCTGTCACTTACTACCTGTATGACTTTGGGCAAGTCACTCAGACTCTCTGGGCCTCTGCCAGTTTGGCTGAACTCTATCAATTCTAGTCTTTTTCACCTATAACTCTGTTACCCTGTGATAATAAAACATAGTAGTGATTCGGCATACAGCCAGAATGTGAATCTGAAAAATGGCACATGATTATCATTTGTATCATTATGGCATGAGCTCAGTAGTTGGAAAGGGGGGTTCCTCCTGTACCTAAATTAAGCCCCTCTCAGACATTGGCCAAGTCAGAGCTGGCAAGGACAAAATAAACAGAAAGAGATATTCCCAGGAAGGACGTGTGTACATCAGGAGCAAAGTTGGACTCTTTACTCACCATTTTAATACTGCTGACAACTATAACAGATGAAAATCTATATAGACTGACAAAATAGAGGTGGGGATGGAGGGGAATCCCAAATTGCAAGTTTTGGCAAAAGAAGATACTGACTCAAGTTTACTAGAGTTAACATTACTACAATAAAAACAATGGCAAACAGGGATTTGGCACCAATTGACAAAGCAAAGGCATGCATTGTTAACACAGACTGAATGTCTCTCAACAGAAAAAAGGCCATGGTAGATGGAAAACAAGGTGCACCTTTTACAAAACTCCCCCACTGACTTAAGACAAACACACAAGAATCAAAGTGGTCAATTTAGTAGATGTGTAGCAACAGAGTCTTTCATCCAGTTTGGAATTTAGCAATTTGTCTCTCTAATGGGCAGCTGTCCAGGGTGTGTCTATGCCCAAGAAGCTGGTTTTTGCATACTACAACAGTCTCAATATGAAAAGTAGTAATTTGGTAATCAGCATAAACCAGGTCAACCCTCAACCACAAGCTTAAAAAAAAAAAAAAGAACTATAATCCTACTGCAGAAATCTTCAATATCATTTCCTTTTAGAAATTATTGTGGTCCTTGGAAATAGGATGGAAACACAAGCTTCATTCAAAAAAGCCATCGTAGTCACAAGAACTCAAAACAACCTTCAGTTGTGGTCATATCAAATTCTGACCATCCCAAGAGTTAAAAACAAAGAGTTCCTACTAAGAGGAATACTTTCAAAATGATCTGGTCATATCATGTGCATAGTTAAGTGTTTGGTTTTTTTTTTTCGTTATTACTATTTTTCTTAATAAAGTTTCTTTTGCAAACAAGGAAATAAAATTTAGTAAAGTTATACTTTTTAGATGGAAAAACTTTAAAAACGGACTAGTGGTGGTATGTTAAAAGAAAAAGAAACAAGAATAAGCTACATATTGAAGTTGTGGAATGCAGCACCTCAAATTTACACCAGCTGTACGTGCCTGAGATTGTGAAACCCTCATGCTGTGATGATTAAGTCACACTTTAGAGCTGCTCCATTTCCAATGTCCAACTTTAAAATGTTATGTCAATTAAGAGATCCCTATTACAGAAGACTGTGCTAGAGAATGTGAAGATTCTGCATGTTGCTGTCATTCCCCTGGTCCCGTTCATGCTTGCACAGCTGCCCCATGGGGCAGCAAAAGAAGTCTGGTTCTTACAGTCCACACCATAATCCCTGGGGAAAAAGAATATTTTTTAGACAGTGAAGGTTTATCAGAGCAGGCCAAAATATTATTCTAGTATGGATATGAAGAACATACACTCGAGTTTTACCTTTATGAATTCCACTTAATAAAGCCCACATTCCTTTAAGTTGTTTTTAATGATGACATCTGTAACAGCATCAAAAACAAACTGCACATTTTTGGTGTCGGTGGCACAGGTGAAGTGGGTATAGATCTCCTTGGTGTCTTTTCTTCGGTTTAGATCTTCAAACTGACACTGAATGTATGCAGCTGCCTCCTCGTATGTGTTAGAACCTGAAAAAGTAGGAGATACTTGATAAGCTCAACTAAATAAAACAAAACTTCTAAATATTATTACCATATATTTGTAATACAGGACACATTACCAAGATGGTAGTCAAGTATCTTTCTTTTTGTGAAAGTACTATGTGAACCTGAATAAAACGTCTACATCATTAAGTTTTTTGCAGCTATCTATTAAATTCCGTTTATTCAACACTCTGTTAGACGTCAATGATTTTCTCACTGATCTTTTTTTTTTAATTTGTCATACTGTGATAGTGGAATACTGAAAATCATGTATCACTATTTTCTATATGTTCTTAAACTACTGCAACCTATTCCTTTACAAATTTATCTGATATTATTTGGTATGTGTTTATTTAAAATTGGTCAGCTCATTTTGAAAAAACCTTCAAATACATTATGATTTCCTTTTTTCTCTTTCTTGTACATTTTTTTTTTGCATTAAATTAAATGTTTCACGTAGACAATATTGTTGGGATTCAGATTTTTTTTATTCTATTCCGTAATCCTCTTCTTTTTATTGAGGAATTAAATTCATTTACATTTAGAGTTAGAACTGTTAGTTTAAATCCTCTACTATTCTTTTAAAAAAAAAAACCACTTTATGGATACTCAATTTTTAACGTTAAGTATCATTCTTCTTTAAATTATTTGTTTTGTCAGAATGAAAAATAAAAATCCCTTCTTTCATTTCTACCAGTAAATCAAATTTGGTAAGACTTTTTGAGGCTATTTTAATCTACTTCATGGATCACCATAACCAAAGAACTGATCACCTACTGGCCAATCTCCTAGAGACGTGTGTCTCTGTATTTGGCTGAACCAGACAACAGTCAGTAGATACAATCTATTTCCAAGATTAAACAAAAATTCTCATATTCTATGTTAAACTCTGCAAGTCTCTTTAACATCTGGATGCCTATTCCTTAGTCAAAAATAGGAGTTTCCCCTTGAAACAGTTGTTACCTGATATTAGCTACCCCCCCATCTTTTCCCCCTTTTGTTTATCTGGAATGTCTCAGTCTATATTTTTTAATCAATAGGTCTGATGAAATTAAAAAAAAAAACAAATGAAGAATTCTACTAGAATAGTAACACACTAGAATAGACATGAAGACTTTAAACTACTAACACTTACTACAACCCTACACAGTCTCTATAAAGTGAGGAAAAACCCTTGGGTAGCAACCAAAAAGGAGCGAAAAAAAGAGGGAGCGGGTGGAACTGCTTCAGACTTAGGGGGAAAAAAAAAGAAACCAGGAGATTAGAAGATGGTATTTCTTGAGTACCAATTTACCCACAATCAGAAAAAGTCAGTGCTGTGAACTTTAGGCTCATACTAATTTCTTTTCTTAGTATTCAGAACAAGTGAATCAAAACTGGTTTACAAGTCATGCACTCTACCCCCACCTTCAAAGGTCACTTTAGTTTTAAGGGCAGTTAGTATTGCAGCCTTATATTAATTGGGGAGAAGTCTGATAATTCCTTATTTCAGCCACACTTCCAAGTCCTACACGTAATGCCTCTGTTGTATGTTCACTACTTGTGGAGCCATGACTACAGCCTGAAAGTCAATGAAGATCAACCTAAGTATCGAAATGATATTTGACTATAATACTTATCACAAATGGCGTGACAAAACAGATAAATAATTTTATAAATGGGATCTCTATCAAAGTTAGAGAAGTAAGCCACAATGTGGAAAGGAAGGTGCAGTACTCTTAAGAGGTTTATGAAAGCTGAATTCAAGTTCTCTTTAAGACAGAAAAAGTTTAAAGAAATGGAGAAGTTTTCATCAGAACAAGGGTTTCAAGAATAGAAGGAAAAAACCCTGCTAAGCATTAACTAGGGAAGAGATTTTTCAAGGTATGAAAAGAGCTTGATAATGATTGGAGGGAGGCAGTTGAGCACACTGTGCCTGACAGAGGTGCTGGCAGGGGCCAAAGAGTCAGAACAGGGAGTATCCACATACAAGATGCAAGCAATATTTAATAGACGCTAAAGTCCATAGACAAGAATTTGGATTTAATACTATAGGTGACTTCTTTGACATATTTGTAGGAGAGAAGTGACATGGTCAGAGTGGTGTCTGAAGAAAATGATTTTGGCAGCAGTGTTTTGGATGCCTGGAGCTAGAAGGAGCCAGGCTTTGATCTGGGATAAGACTAAAGTTGCTTTTTAAAAGAATATGAACTAAAGCATCTAAGAGAGTTTCCTGAAGTTTCTGATCATTCGTACTGATGGATATCCAAAATTATATAAACTCTATGATCAGTTCTGAGCTAGTTTTGTCTGACATGCTGTGTTTGGCCTGACACGCATATGGGAGCTTGTTCAAAATACAACTAATGCAGAGTTCAGTAAATTTTTTATTACCTAAAATGTTAAGAAAGCATTAGATGTATATTCTGAAATAACAACAACAGAAACTCTTGAAGAGAAAATGGGAGATTTTTTGGCAAGAGTAACTGAACTATGTGATGACAAATATCTTCATATCCCTCATCTTAATCTTACCATGTTTTCTGGAGAGCAGATATGTTGAAAAAGGTGGGCCAGTTCAAAAATCTAGATCTAATGGAAGAAAGGGATTGTAGCCAGCTGGAAAATGACCCCACCATTTGACCAAACTTTTCCTCTCCACAATCACCATAAAATTTTAATCTAATAATCCAATATGGTCTCACCTCAGAATTTCCTCATTGTTTCTGATACAGCTGACCACTACCTCCTCTTGGACACCCTTCCCTTCCCTTCCATGACCTTTATTTCTCTTGGTCTTTCTCCTATCCTTCCTATCCTCTCCTCCTATCTGATCATTCCTTCTCAGTCTTCTTTATGGGATTATTGCTCACACCTTTCTCCTAAATTTCAAGGCTCTGTCCTGGGTTCCCTTCTTTACACTCTCTACATCCTTTGTATCCATCCTGTCTTTGTATGCAACTGTCTGTTGCATATCTTTTCCAGGATGTCCTGCAGGCATCTTAAACTTATTTAGATCTAAAATGGAACTCATCATCTTTTTCCACTAACCGTTCTCCTTCTTCAAACTTTTCTATTTCTACTGAGGTCACCACCACCTCCCCAGGCTTCTAACCTTGGAATCAGGCTTGATCTTTTTCTCTCCAACCCTCACAGCCAATTATTTGACAAACCTGTAAGACCTGCAGCATCCATCCCCTTTTTCCTATTCAGCTGTACTCACACCTCTCACCTAGACTGCTGACATAGACTCTCAACTAATCTTCCTGTTGCAGTCTCTCTCCTCTATAATATGTCTTCCACATTGCTGTCAAAAACAATTTTTTCCTAAGTTATAGATCTTACCCTGACATCAGGTCCCCACTGCTTGAAGGAAAAAAACAATTCTTTGCCCTAGCATTTAAGGCCTTCACAATCTTGTAGCTACCTACCACTCGTCTTACTTCAGTCTTCTTCTACGTCAACTCTAGATTCCAGTCAAACTGAAATACTAGTCATTCCCCAAATTCAATACTCCATTTTCTACCTCAGTATATTCCACACATGCCATCCCCACACCTGAAATGCATTCCCTTCTTATGTTTACTTCTCAGAACCTCAGGTGCAACCTCTTCCACAAAGTTTTTTCTGAAATCCCAGTTGTTAATATTTTCTCCTCCCTCCATTTTCGTTTTTACCCTATGCTTGTTTATATATATTATATATCCTGGCCCCAGGGTATGTAGGCTGCTTGAGAACAAGGAATGTTTCATTTCTGTCTTTGTATTCTCAGTGTCTAACACAAAACTTTGAACATAGCATATTTTTAACAAATGTTCAATTGAATTGAATTACTGAAGAGACCATTTACCAACTGGAATATATGAACATACAGAGTTATTTGTATACAGGAAACAATCAAATAAGGTAACATTTATAAAGCACTCTGAAAACCATAAAGCACTAAATGTTAACTATTATCAGTAGTAGTAAAAATTCCCAATCAGGATTATATTTACATTTATCAAATAAAAATGTCTGAAGTAAAGTCTACTTAGTTTATTAGCATCAGTATGCTTCTTATTAAGTGATAATGAATTTTAATTTTATAAGTGTGTATCTTACATCTGTGACAGGTAATCTATATCCATACTTAAACTGTGTCTATAAAATCAATGGCCATTCACCTCAAGATGGCAAATTCGCTGAAAGTAAAGATTATGTAAAAATTAAACCAGTAAACTCTACCATGCCTAGAATAACACCTTAAGGGGTACTTAATAAGTGCTTGGTGCTTTTAATCACACCAAGCGCTGCCCCCTAGACCAGGGGACTTTATATGAAAGGCACATATATAGTTCACAATGAGATGTGGTTCATATGATCAGAAATGCCCACCTAAAACTACTATTCTGAAGGAAGTCTTTTACTGATCTTTACCTGTATACTCTGGGTAACAGATAGTTAGTGGGCTCCTTCTTATCTTTTCCTCAAAAAGGTCTTTCTTGTTAAGAAAGAGAATGATCGATGTGTCTGTAAACCATTTGTTGTTACAAATGCTGTCAAACAGTTTCATGCTTTCATGCATTCGGTTCTGGAAAATTAAACACAGGATAACATATCACTAGCAAAACAGGCAAAAAGTTGATCACTTAGCAACTTAAAAATAGTATCAAGTTTTAAGAACACAGACTATCAGAGAATAAAATTCAAAGGAACTCAAGTCAAGTAACAAGTTACACAAAAGATCATTCCCCCAGTACAGAAATTATTCTGCACTTTTGCAATGAAAATAGGATTTAATCCTGTCTACATGCTGAATGCTATTAAATATCTCATTAAATATTACATCTAGACATAGGCAAAACTAATCAACTTTGGACTAGATAACTTGTAAGATTGCTTCTAACTGTAAATTATGGTTCATATTTAAAACAATCTCACTAAGCAAGAAAGAAAGTGTTGGAATATGTTATTGGCAGTAGTGAACAATAGTGCTTTCTGAGCAGTTAACACTATGAACTCTATGAGGATAAGAAGCAGGAGGCCCAGGCACAAAATTACCAATGATGAAAGGGAAGAAATTAAGAAGCAAAGCCCACAGAAGTACAAAAAAAGAACAGTAAGAGAGCCTAAACAGATATCAAGACCTTGCTGATCAGAGTATGCTGTAGATGGAAGAGAAACATAAAGAAAACATGGGTATCATTCACTCAATGGTAATTCAGGGAAAGGTTAAAGAAACTCTGGTGGTCACTGCCAAAATAACTACAATTAGAAGAATTTACAGTACTATACATACAGACTATTTACCTGTTAATAATTAATAAAGGCCTGTAATTGGTAGGGCACAGCCAATTAAAGCTAAAGAGAAAGCCTGATTCCATCTGTTACATCTGTATGTAGAACGTGTAGTGCAGAATGGTAATGTGAAAAGGATGCTTCAAAGGGCAGTATCAACATCACACTCAAGGGACAGATGTAAATAAAGCATCATTATCTACATTTGTTCAAAGAGATCCTTGCATAGCACTGAAGCTCAGATGGAGCAGATTATTGAATGTGTCCATTCACAAGGAGAGGAAGCAGTAAATGTATAATCATACAGCCTGGTCTCCTGCTCTTGGAAGTTTAACATAAGGGCATTAGTTTTCAGTTCAGTGAGAAATTTATACACATGAAATAACAAAGGTTCTACATAAGAGAAGACTTTTTAAAATATTATTTTCCTCCTCTACTCCTCATTCCTCATATTTTTTGGCTCTACTTAGAAGCCTATTCACTGTAATTTTCTGCAACATACCATCTCTTCATCTTCAGCTAAGACAAGGTCATAATCGCTGAGGGCCACACAGAAGATGATTGCTGTCACACCTTCAAAGCAGTGAATCCACTTTTTTCGTTCTGATCGCTGACCCCCCACATCAAACATCCTGAGAGAGGATAAAGAAGAATTCAGTAGAATTACACACCCATAGTTACACACCCACCCTTGCCTACATTCAAATTGTTAGAAAATTTCCCACTGAAATTTTCAAAAACCTTATTTAAAGGAAAGGAAGACCAAACAATGAGCTAATGAAATACAGTCAATCCCAATTATCTAAGATTATGTGCATAAGAAAATGAAATGCAAAAAAATAATTCCCATGCCTAAAATGGCGCTTTTGCTCATCTACCTACTGCTCTTGATTTACTCCTCTGGATTCAAACAACATAAATCTAATTTCTCCTTCACATGACAGCCCTTCAAAGAATTAAACACGACTATCACATTCCACCAACTCTTTTCTCTAGATTAAAATTTTCTGGTTCCTCTGACCTGATCCTCTAATGTTATGAACTCAAGGCCTTTCACCATTCTAGTTGCCAGCCTCTGGATATTCTAAAACTTAAAAATGTTCTTCTAAAACTGTACTGCCCAGAATTAAACACAATACTCCACATGAGATCTGACAAGGGCAAAGTACAGTGGAATTATCACTTCCCTATTCCTGGAAGCCATGCTCCTCTTAATGCAGCTCAAAATTTCATTAGCTTTTTTGGATGTCACATCATATTGCTGATTCATGATGAGCGTGCTGTCAATTACAAACTAGATCTTTTTCAGAACAGCTACTGTCTATCCATGCCTCAATCTTATATTTGTGGCATTGATTTTTTATATCCAAGCGAAAGACTTTACAACTACCACTATCAAATTTCATCTATTAGATTTAACCCAGTGCTCTAACCTATCAAGATCCTTTGGATTCCAACTATCCATTACGTTAACTATCCCTCCCAGTTCTGTGTTATTTGCATATTTGATCAGCATACCATCTATATCTTTATCCAAGTCATTAATAAAAATGTTAAAACAGTGTAGGGTCAGACACTTGGACTCCAATGCAGAACTCCTGCCACACTGACACTGATTCCTTAACAACTATTCTTTGAGTCTGGAGACTCAAATAGTTCTGAATCTATCTAATTATATTCTTTTTTTCCCCCTTTTTATGCAATTGGGGTTAAGTGACTTGCCCAGGGTCACACAGTTAGTAAGTGCCAAGTGTTTGGTCTGAGGCTGGATTTGAACTCAGGTTGGTTAGTCTGGCACAGGAAAGTCATGAAGGCTCTTTATAATCACCATTTTGCTTTCTGGATATTCACAATCCATCTCTTTGAATATCTTTTCTATAATTTTCCCAGGAATCAAAGTTTACTGGTCTGTAGTATGCAGATTCTATTCCCTTTTAAAATTTGGAAATCAGGACATCTGCCCTTGTCCAATCTTGTTTTTCCTTTCCTATTTTTCAACTATCACTGCCAGTGGCCCACCAATCACATCAGTCAGTTCCTTCAGGACCCAAAGACAGCTTGATCTGGTCCCAGGTGACTTGAATTCCTCAAGGGCAGCGAGGTGCTCTCTTCCTACTTTCTAACTTGTCTTGAGAATCAACTGCCCATTGGTCATTTTTGTTCTGTCATTTACAGTGAAAAGGTACAGAGAAAGTAGAACCAAAAAAGACTTGAGCAGGCCAGCTTTATTGTCTGTTATTATCATCCCCTCTACTACTGTTTAATTCTACATGGAGGGGTAGTCCTTTCCCCAGAAAGCTCACAAATCTATTGCAGCAACATACTTTGTTATGCTTTGTTAATCAAAACCAGGAGAAAATCGGCCTTGCTCATTCCAAAAATGTTCAAACAAGTCACAATCTTACCAGCAGGACCTTTCTAGATTTTATATATTTCAAAACCACAACTGATGGCTAACACAGTACCAAAAAGCCTTCTGTAAACTCTAAATTCTACAAAGGAACAAAACAGCCTTAGTTATAATGATGACAGAACTGCACTCTCTTAGAGTGAGACCACAGTGGCCACTGAATTCAGCCTATACCTGAAAAGGGAGCCCTACGATAAATACTCAGCAAGCAGTTATTTAGCCTCGAGACCTCCAGCATGGGAGAATCCATTCCCTCCCAAAGCAGCACATCTCACTCCGGGATAGACATAATTTGGAGAAGTTTTTCCTGACTTCAAGCTTAAATTTGCATCTCTGTGACTTCCACGCACTGCTCTTGGTTCTGTCTGTTGGAGCCAACAGACCAAGTCTAAACCTCTTCTACATAAACAGCCTTCAGATACTCAATAAAGGTATATAAACTCGTCCCACTAAGTCTTTTCTTCTCCAGGCAAAATATGCCCAGTTCCTTCAACTTATCCTCATCTGACATGGACTCAAGGTCTTTCATTTAGGTTGAACTCTCAGACTCCCTAGTTTAAATGACAGCCTTCTTAAACTGTGAAACTCAGAATCGAGCACAATACAGGACTCTCACCTCCTTCTTCCCAGAAGCTCTATCTCTCTCTCCCTTTCCCTTTCCCTCTCTCTGTCTCTCTTTAAAATGGCAGGGGAAGAGTGGTGCCGTAGGGGAGGAGAGTGATTACAAAATGACTAGAGAGATAGAGAGAAAACAGAGACAGAGAAGACAGCTTTAGTCCTTTAAAAAAAATTATATTAATTATTTTTGGCATTCTTTTCTTTTTAAAACTTGAGTTCAATGTTCTCTCCTTCCCTTCCAGAGCTCTGTCTCTTTAATGCAGATAACTTTCTTGGCTGCCACATCATGTTGTTGCTTCCTATAGAGCTTGTGGGCTTTTTTCTTTGTGGGCTTGTGTGTCTTTTTCAGACAAATACTGCTGTCTAACCATGCCCCCCCCCCAGTCTATTCTTGTTAAGTTCATTTTTTTGGACCCAAGAGTAAGACTTTACATTTATCCTTACTGAATTTCATTTTATTAGTAGATTCAGCCTAACACTCTAGTCTGTCGAGATCTTTCTGGATCCTGACTTTGTAATACAGTGTGTTAGCCTTGTATCATATGAAAATCTAATGAGTATGCTATCAATAACAATCTAAGAGTGCAAGGGAAATTATTTTATGAGGTGTTAAAAATTAGCAATTGGATATAGTAAGCACTAATAAATGTTTTTTTCATTCATTCGTTATTGAACAAAAAGAATTCTACCAATAGACTACAGCTTAACCAAAACCTGCATATTAGAACAAGAAACTGATTTAGGAGTGGCGTAAGAACTGGATTTAGGGTGAAAAGAAAGGGCATAGAAAAAGTGACCCCCAACCTTAGAAATAAAGAATGCAGAACAAAAAAGGAACCAAAAGTCAGTTTTGACACACATAAAAGTTACATAAAAGATAATGGTAAAGTGTCTAAATCTAAAGTACCTAAACTGTTTGCACTAAACTACTTTATGCAAAACTGCTGTATTAGAGTAAAAAAATTTTCTCCATCAATATTTCTCCTTTCCCAAAAATAACTCCACTCTTAAGCTATCTCAACATATTGTTTGAGAACTTTGCCACACATGATGCCGTGCACAATATCAGTCCAAGGGCCAAGACAGTATCAGCTCCATTATAAGTAAAGGAAAAAATGCCAAGCAAACAGGAAAAGGATAAAACAACTGGCAAGAAAAAGCACTGATCTTACAAAAGCAAAAAGGCAGGACAACGAGAGCTAAATAGTTAAACCAGAGAATTGGTAATAAAAAGTTCTCTTTAATATTTTTACCCTGTTAAACAGCAAACCATTCAATACCTGTATTGATGATTCCAATGAAAAAGCAGCTGAAAAGATTAAAATTAAAATAAAATAAACTAGTATTCACCAGAATGTCTACTTATAGGCAAATTTAAATTTCATTTACAACCTAAATCCAAAGAATGAAGTTATCTGAAGTTACTTGGAGGTAGAATGAGTAATGAAGGCTTGCTTCATTCGGCAACATGAATAGAGTAAGAAGCAAATTACTGATCGATAATTACGAAAGTAATATTCAAACTAGGTGAGAATATTCCCTGGAGAATTTTGCCCCAAATAAAAACTACTCAACAGGAAAATACAGTTCTGGGTTCAGCACACTCAGTAAAACAAAGAAGTCACTTACTTGAAGTACAGGTCTTTGAAAGTGAAATGAGTCTCTACTATGCCTGTGGTTTTCACTCTTGTCCGTAGGACATCTTGTTGAGTTGGAATATAGCTGGTTTGGGATATTCTATCCAAGTCATTTAGGTAACTAAATTAAAATACAATATACTTTATTTTTAATCTGTGACACCAACCACATACCAAGGAAATTAACAGAAAATGCTAGCAAACCTGTCAACAAGACAAAAGCATTCTTTCTTTATACTTCACTAAGGCAGAAATACAATATGATGATCTTTAACGACTCAGAATTAAAATAAGGGAGGAAGAAGCATGGCTAAAGCTCAACTGGGGGCTCATCTGCAATCTTTCATTAATTTTAATCTCAAAAGTGAATCAAAAGCATGATGCCTCAACTTCACTCTAACATCCACTACCTCTCTCCATCTCATAGTCATCCACCTGTGAACAGGATTAGGGATGAGATTTATTTACAAGCAACCAGTACAAGAAGGTTCTACACAGAAGCCTATTACAAGTGCCAGTCACAGAGAATGGGCTATGAGAGAAAAAGAAAACAATGATAATTTCAGTCCATAGTTGGCTAGCGGTGTGAAACACTGATATGCAGCAGTCTTTAGTGAGCTGGAAGAACCCAGCTGCAAGGGGTTTTCCCCTCCTCCATTTGTTCACATATTTCCACTATGCCAACAAGCTTTCCTTCAAGTTCGTGGAAGGGTTCTACAACACTAAAATGAAACAATTTTCAGGAAGGATGCTATATGGCTTTTCTAAAAGATGTCTGTTATGCAGATTCTCTTCAAAGATGAATGCTAGAACTTTTCCAGGGTTCAGAGACATAGTTATTTCCTGCTATGTCATCACCAAGAAAATTACTTACTATGAGGCAGAGTCATTGAGCTGATATTCCCTTGATCTGCTAAAGCAGGCTTGCACTCCACCATCTCGCCACAACCGTTTAATTACTCCTGCCAGTTCTGGAGTCATGACCCCCTCTTCAGCACTACCAGCTAAAACAAACAGCTGCCGAGCATCATCCTAAGGAAAAGGGTTTAAGGCAGAGAGAGAAATAAAAGTTAGGTGAGTCTTTTATTTCCTGAAACACTTCAAAGACAGGTTCAAGTTCTACATGGAACAAGATTTGTCTCACTGAATCAGAGAGGCATGAAAAAGACCATTTGCCTCTTCTTCCCTAGGAGGGCAGTTTGAGAGAACTTAAATCCACTCACCTTTCTTCCCTTGTACCAAAGGTACCATTTCTACCTAGAAGATATATTGTCATAGGGAAAAATCTTGTGCTGAGTGGAGAAATGGTGATCTCACTAAAAGGGAACCCCTTGTGACTGGCCCACGGATTCCCCTGTAGCCATTCAGGGTTACTAATATAGTATAGAACAAAAAGACCAAAAGAATGAAGGCTCAATGTGCAGGGGCCCCTCTTCTGTTCTGCTGGTGGGGGGCAACAGGGTTTTTTTGCAACAGGTCTCTATGCAGAAAACCAAAATAGAATCTCTAGGGCTTATGAAAGGGTTAAGTAAATTTCTAATAAGAAAATGGGAATAGGTCATGGCTTTCAGGTAGTTCTTATTCTTAAATAATTGTTAAATTCTTAAATAATAATTCTTAATTTACTTAATAATTCTTAAATTACTTCTCAATCTATTTTCCAAGGCAACTGGTTTTCCTATGAGATATTTCATATTTTCTTCTATTTTTTCAGTCTTTTGACTGTTTTATTGCTTCTTGATGTCTCATGGAGTCACTGGCTTCCACTTGACCAATTCTAATTTTTAAGAAATTATTTTCCTCAGTGAGGTTCTGTACCTCCTTTACCATCGGGTCAATTCTGATTTTTAAGGAATTGTTTTCTTCAATCTTGTGTGTGTACATAAGCACAAACTCTTTTACCAAGCTATTATTTTTTTCCACAATTTTCTTGCATTTAAAAATTTCTTTAGCTCTTTTAGAAATTCTTGTTGGGCTTGTGTTCAATCTGCATTTTTCCTTTGGGGCTTTGCTTGTAGATGTTTTCAAGTTCCTGTCTTCTGAGTTTGTCTTGAGCTTCCCCGTCACCATAGCAACTTTTTATGATTAGCTTCTTTTTTCAGACTATGTCTTCACTGTTCAACTGGGGGGTGGGGGTGGGGAAAAGGAGATTAACGTTTGGTCTGAGCTTCTATTACATCTTTCTGCTTTCACAGCTCAATCTGGTGGTCGGTAGGTTTTTGGTGACTCCAAAATGGTATAATCTGGGGAGCAGTCTGCTCAGTGCTCTCTTGGTCTGCATTTTAGTCCTTATCCAAGTAGGGCCTCTGCTCCCATTCCTCTCTGCCCTGGAATTGTGACACAGAACTGTGTAACGGCCAAACGAAATGCCAAACAACACCTGATCCTACCCACAGTTCTAATACAGGGGTCCCATAGAAACTCTTTCTGACCAAGTATTTGGTGAGAATATCCCTTAAAATCCCTGGGTCCTGGGGTTGTGTCTCCCTGCCGATGCTACCTCACCTATTGTGCTCAAGACTAACCTCAATCGCAGTGTCTATAGCTCTCTCTTTCTGTCTTCCTAAGCTTCCCTGGGCTGGAAAAATAACTCACTGTGACTTTTACTTGGCTTTTTCGCTCAGAATTCTGTTCAGTGTTTTCTTTATGTAGTTGTTTTGTAGGAGAGATTTTGGAAGAGGTTTGGCTGTGTAACCTCTTATTCCACCACATTGACTCCACTCTCCCATAGGAGAAAATTTTAAAAGAAATAAAACATTGTAACATGACAACAGATCTATGTAAAACAGTTAATTCCCCTTTAATAATTGAAGTCTAGAACACTTAAAAGTAATGAGGCCAGAAAGAGAATACTGCTATGATAGTTTTAATCTTACTGCTTTGTTCCTTTTCTAAATAAACAGACTTTCAGGAGTTATTTCCCTAGCTAATATCTAAGGTTTCCCTCTATCATAAAGAATAGTGTCGAATCTTAAAAGTGTATACAGGATACTCAGAAGAAATATTATGCACTAGGAAGAATCAGTATGAGAAGGAAGGCTGATTACATATATATATACATATACATATATATAGATATATATATATATTTTTTTTGCTTTTTGGTGAGGCGATCAGGGTTAAGTGACTTGCCCAAGGTCACACAGCCAGTAAGTGTCTGAGGATGGATTTGAACTCTGGTCCACCTGACTCCAAGACCAGAGCTCTATTCACTGCACCATCTAGCTGCCTCGACTTATATTTCTTATATATAATTCTAAGAGAAACAGGCCAAGTAAGAAGTAAAAAAAGAAAAGGTAAAATCAAGATTAGGAGTTAATTTGACTTGTTTCTTGCAAGAGTTCATCAAAATGAACTTCTAGCATCACCCTTCCCTTCTCTTTCCATCAATATATTCTAGTCAACACTGCCAAACTCAATAATTTCTTGCCTTGATGTTTTTTATCTAGTATACCCTCCTTTCTCTATGTGTAAGGTTCCTCTTCCTTCTTTCAAATATTACTTCAAAGCCCTTCTCTTTCAAAAAAACCAACAACAACAAAAAAAAACCAACCAAAAAAAACTTCTCTGACACTTGTGATACACTCTCCTCTTTATGTTGATAGGGAAAAGTTGGAATAAAAGTATTAATCATTAGAAATGTAAAAAAATCAACTTACATTCTCAAAACACTGCATTTACTGTTTTCTTCTATGGGTAATGGTGTGGTATCTACAACGTGAGGCTTTGAGGGCAAAGCCCCCCCCCCTTTTAAGTTTGAGCCATTCCCAAAACAGTTCAAAATATGTTACAAATAAATCTTACAATCATAGTATTTTATTTTAGAAACTGACTGCTAACGCTTCTCCTTTATTGTCCAACCAGCTCCCTTCTGGCTTAGTAAGCCTTCTACCTACAAACAGCCCCCTTCCAGTGCAATAAACTCCCTACCTGTAAGTAGATAAGCAAGAACAGCCCCATTCTGCAGCTGGCTTCTCTCCTGGCCTTCTCTCTTCCAAACCAATCATAAAACAGCCTAACTTCTGACCTCTTTTAGGCAGAGTTGGGCAGCCAACCCCGGAGGAACAAAGAAGGGATAGAATAACACTGTGTGCATGTATAAAAGAGAGAAACATTAAAAATAAATTACAAATGACAGCAGGGAGTACTCTGTGTGTGCTAGAGAGCTCAAGGGACATACAAAGTCAAGGACGGATTAATGGTTTCAGCAGTGTTTGGTGAAAAGAGTGGCCCACAGATTAATAAAAAGTAATCTGATCAAGCTGAGAAGAGTGAGAAAGAGAAGGGGGTGAAAGAGATAAAGGAAGAAAAGAGATACTGGATTGGTTTGCCATTTTCTTCTCCAGCTCATTTTACGGATGAGGAAACTAAGGCAAATAGGGTTAAGTGACTTTCCCACGGTCACACAGCTAACAAGTGTCTGAGGTCACATTTGAACTCAGGTCTTCCTGACTCCAGGTCCAGGAGAGAGAGATAACAAAAGGTAAATACAGAAGAGAAAAAGGGAGAGGACAAAAAGGGGGGTGGGGTGGGGGTGATGAATCTACTTAAGTTTCTCTGATCATAGAAATTTTTTTCTTCTTGCATAAGCTTAGAAAATGGGGTGTCTCTTAATGTGGTGCCTGCCTCCTGCAAAAATGGGTATTCTAATAAGGGGGAAGGGAGAAGGAAAGAGAACATGGATTTATATAGCAACTATTATGTGCTCGGCACTGTGCTAAGCACTTTGCAAATATTATCTCATAAGATCTTCCCAACAACCCTGGGAGGCAGTAATAACTAATAGCTAACAGGGCCTGGAGTCAGGAAGACTCATCTTCATGAGTTCAAATCTGGCCTCAGATACTTACTAGCTGGGTGACCCTGGGCAAGTCACTTAATCCTGTTTGCTTCAGGTTCTTCATCTGAAAAAATGAACTGGAGAAGGAATAGCAAACCACTTCAGTATCTTTTCCAAGAAAATCTCAAATGGGGTCACAAAGAGTCGGACAGGACTGAAACAACTAAACAACATTTATATAGTGCCCACTACCTGTGCCAACTTCTGTGCTAAACACTTTACAAATATTACCTCATTTGATTCTCACAACAATCCTGAGAGGTAGGTGTTATTATCCCCATTTTACAGATGAGGAAACTGGGGCAAACAGAGGTTATGTGACTTGCCCAGGGTCGCAGAGTTAGTAACTGAGGCCAGATCTGAACTCAAGGTCTTCTGATTCCAGGTCCAGTGCTCTATCCATTGTGCCACCAGCTACCACCGAATGCTTAAGAGCACAAATGTGATTTTTTTCCTTCCATTTATTAAACCTGCCTCTGCTCATACTTCTTTCTAGTACTTTAGATTCTCTGGTTCTCTTTTCTCCTCTTCCCACCTATCAAAAGCCTGCCTTGACCATTTGGTTAAAATGCTTTTCACAAGCGGGCCCCAGCTCACGCTCTCTGTTGGCTGCACTTGTAACTCGTTTACCAAATCTATACTTCATTCACACTGCCACACTTGCTTTCTCCACACACGGCCTTCTCACATCCATCTCTCAGAGTCCCTGGCTTCCTTAAAGGTGAAGTTCAGGCGCCATTTCCTCTTGTCTATTCCCCCAGCAATTACTTTGTATTGACTTTTCTACATTTTGTACATGTGGTTTCCTCCTAATACAGAGATCCTTAATCTGCAGGCCATGAACATATTTAAAAAAATATTTTGATAGCTGTATTTAAATATAATTTAGATTCCTGTGTGATCCTATGTATTATCTTCTATGCATTTAAAAACACTATCCCAAGAAAGGGTCCAGAGGCTTCACTAGGCTGCCTGAGGGGGCTATGGCACCCAAAAGGTAAAGAATCCCTGTCCTAATTAACAGAATGTAGGATCTTTAGGGGCAGGAAAGGTTTTGTTTTCTGCCTTTGTACTCCCAGAGCCTGGCATTGTGCCTGGCACACAGAAAGTACTGAATAAATTCTTGCTGAATGAATGACTCCTAACCCAACCTGACTCAAACAACTTCTTTAATTTTACCTCCCTTCAGCAATTACATACTCAATGTGTAACTAAATTAAACTGTATTTTTTGATGCAGTGCTTTGCAGGGTACATATCCTTAAGTCGTTTCATGTATACAAGCTATGCTTCAACTAGATTCAAGGTTAGGACAGCACCTCAAATAATGCTGACTGACCATCAATTACAAGAGGCTACTCCAACTCATCCCTATCCCCCTGAAGAACTGTTTCTAGCCATCACAATTACTGATGATGTCAACAAAGCCCCATACCGGAATGAGAACATTTTGATTAGAGACTCAGATTGCAAAATCATAGAGCTGGAGTCAGAGGTCACAGAGTCTAACCTATGAAAGTCTAATCCATGGTCTGATTCCTAAACAGGAATCTTTCCCATACAACATCCCTAGCAAGTGTTAATCCAGTTAATGCTTTAAGATCTTTAGGGACAGAGACCTATCACCTCTTAAGGTTAGATTGCTCCATTTTTCAATGACTCTAATTCTTAGGAAGTTTTTCCTTACATGGAACTGAAATCTGTCTCTGCATCTTTCCCTTAGTTCTAATTCTACACTCTTGCATCATACCAAACAAGTAATCTCTCTCTTACACGACAGACCTTGAAATATCTCAAAATAACCTATTGTAGTCCCATAAGTCTTCTCTTTTCCAGGCTCAATGTCGCCAGTTCTTTCAATGGATTCTCACACGACATTTTTTCAATTTTTATCTACATAGCTGCTCTTTAGAGTTCCAGCTTAATATACTTCTTAAAATATGACATGGCCCCTCTCCTCCCAGAATTGAACACAATGCTTTATGTGTACTTTGACTAGTAAAAAGAATAGAGGGACTCTCACCCACTGGTGTAGTACAACACTGCTTTAAGTCCTAGAGCTCATTAAGTCAATCAACAGATTATGAATGCCTAATAAAGTCTAAAACATAACACAGCACAAGATTCTTAAAGTCCAAAATTTTCCACTAAAATTTAGTTTATTTACTTTTCAAATTTAGTTCCAATATGTCTATTCCTGGAGACCAATTTTTACCTTCATTGTCTCCACTCAGAAGAATGAGTGGCAATACTTCCTCAGATGACAAAATTATTGAAGGGGGTCCCTTCAAAGAAAATGAAGCTTGACCATGAAATGAGAGGAATGGTTGAAAGAACTGGTTAATTCAGGGTGTTCAGAGAGTCTTGGTGCCATTCTAAGCAATAGGGACACCTTGCACTGAAACATCCATTTGTACTTTTCAGTCTCCTCTTTGTAGCTGGAGTGCAGCACCTACTACGGCAGGCTGCTAACGCTTCTCGGGTTGCCACATACTCACCATAGGGCCTATGCTATTGCTTCAATTCGTTTTCCTGACAGATGAAGTAAGTTCTGCCTCTCTATGAACAGCACCTACTGAACAGGAGGAAGCTAAAAGAAGTGAGAAACACTCACAGCTCTGGCAGCTTCCCCAAAGTCAATCTTTAGTCGTCCCATGGCTCTTATAATTGCAATGATGGACTGGATGGTGTTGCTGTAAACAACTACTTTATACTGTTTGCATTCTTCCTCAGAATATCCATCTTCATGGATGATTCTTAAAAATAAAAAAAAAAACCAAAACCCATTATTACCGCTAAAACGAAAAAAGAAAATACTATAGATTTTTAAAATACTAAGTGAGAAAATTTAGCTTTACAAAAGGTCACATTCTAACTTACTTCATTTGTTTCACAATAGTGCTTTTACCAGATTCACCAGCACCTGAAATATACAGAAGATATACTTTAAGTTTTTCAATTATCAAACATTTTAGGTATGAAAATCTTATTCAAATTATCTGTCACAAAATAATATTTATTAGACTTCAGTATGCGTGGCTCAGTCACAAAATTCAACTTACCACACGTCTTAGGGCTTGTTTCTTGGCATTACTAGCAAAATATATATACTTCCACAGAAAAGTGTTACTACAGATAAATAATAATGGTTCACATTTGCATTAGCATTTGAAGCTTTAAAAAACACCTCACACCAACTTTCTGAGATAGGTACTCTGTGTCATTATTTTCATTTTACAGATGGGAAAACTGAGACCCAGTAAAATTCAGTGATTTGCCAATGACAACAGCTAAATAAATGTCAGAACTGGCATTTGAATGCATGCCCTCTGACTCTAATCCAATGGTCTTTCTACTACACCTGAAAATACTACTTTCTATGCTGGTCACCACCTTTGCCATAGTCAAGTCTGCTATTACTCTATGACCTAAAATTGAGGCATTCCTAACCACCCAAGCACACCTGTTACTTATAAGCAGACAACAAGTCCACAAAAAGAGTGACCCAATTTGGGGTAAGATTCTACCAATTACTCACTCACTACACATTTAACACCACTGCCCCAAGTCAAGGCAATGCAATCACTAATGCTGATGCTAGTTATAGGTATTTGCCTCAGTTTACCCAAAAGAATGGACAACAACTCAAGAGATTCTCTTTTGTCTGTCAGTACACATAAATCTATCTCGCCCTGTTCTTGGTACTCACAGTTCTGGAGTTCAGAAATTAGGAATTAAATGACAAGGCAGAATCAAAAATATGCAGCACAACATTTTTAAGTAAGTTAGTATGACAGCAGAATTTAGAGCTGAATGGGACCACCCAGTTCAACCCCTTCATTTTACAGATAAGGAGATTCGGGTTCAGAGATGTACAAAGACTTGACCATGTGGCAAAACTAGTATTTGAATCCAGGTTGTGTAAGATCAGACCCAGTCCTCTTTGCACCGTCTGTAACACAGGGCCTCCTTGCTCACACACTCTCATCTACTTTTCTCCCCGACGATCACTAAAAGTGAAACTTAGATAACAAACTGTTTTGTCCTCTGATATCCAAAAATTGGATATTAAGAGTGAAAGGGTTTGCTCTAATATAGACAAAGCACCATGATAGGCTTTTGTACAAATATGTCACTGTTATAAATTATGTCTTTTCCCCCCTAGTCATAACTATAAGAACAATATCTCTGAAACAAAAAAAAATGAGCTCATTACATTGCGTTTTCTTATCTTTTGACAAAGCTAGTTACCTCCTGTATATACGGCTCCAAGACCAAAATCAGTGAATCTGATTGAAGGGCTACACAATACCCAAGCTGTTGATTACCTATTGCTTTCCAGAACCGCTTGGACCACTTCACAGGTCCAACCGTGTGCCTGTCTTCCTAACAGTCCCTCCAACAGTTTGTCATCTTTGCCAATTTGATGAGTGTGAGGCAGAACCTCAGAGTTGTTTTAATTTGCTTATCTCTTATTAGTGATGTGGAACACTTTTTCATATGACTGTTGATAGTTCACACGTCTCCTTTTGAGAAATGCCTACTCATACCCTTTAATCATTTATCTGAGAAATGGCTCTTGTTCTTATAAATTTTAATCAGTTTCTTCTATACCCTGCATATGAAATCTTTATCAAAAAACCTGCAAAAGTTCCTTTGCGGGCTCCCCCATCCCAAATTAACTGCTTCCCTTTTGTTTCTAACTTCATTGATTTGTTTGTGCAAAAAGTTGTTTCAATTTTACTTAATCAAAGGTATCCATTTTATTTCTCTGTGATCCTCTCTATCCCTTGTTTGGTCAAGAACTGTTCCCCTGTCAATAGTTGCAAAAGGTATCTCCTTCCCCAACACTCTACTCTGTTTATGAGGGGACCTTCTATATCTAGGTTGTGTGTCCATTTGGAGTTCTCCGTGATATATGGTGTGAGATGTTGGACTAAGCCTCATTTCTCCCAGACTGCTTTTCAATTTTCCCAGCAATTTCTGACTGACAGTGAGCCCTTACACCAGGAATTGGTCTCACTATGTTTATCAAACAGTTATGATGCTCAGTAGCTTCTGGGTCAGGATCTCTGACTCCATAGTCATTTTACTTTTTATTATGCTATACTACATTTCCTCTGTTTACAAATGCATCTTTCTTCTCTCTCCAGGACAAACTTCTTGAAAAAGCTTTCTACAGAAGATGCCTCCACTTTCTCATCCACCTGCTCACTTTCTTTTTTTTTTTTAAATGCACTTTTTTTTGGGGGGTGAGGCGATCGGAGTTAAGTGACTGTTAGACCTACGGAGTGTGAGAGTTGATGGCATTCAGGTGGCAGAGGCAGCACGGTGGTGCATTGGAAAGAAAGTTGGGCTTGGCGTCAGGAAGACTGGAGTTCCAGTCCCACTCCAGATGCTAGCTGTGTGATCGTGGGCTTAATTCTTCCAGACTCAGTTTCCTTTCCAGTCAGATGGGAATAATTCTAGCACCTACCTCATAAGGTTGTTGTAAGGCTTCAATGAAAGAATATGTTTAAACCTTTGCAGACCTCAAAGCACTATATAATTCCTCATTTTTTTTATTATAGATAAGAACTGGGGACATTCAGTGTGGAGAAGAGGAAGCTTGGGGGAAGGGCTCATGGTTAGCTGTCTTCAGGTATTTAAAGGTCCTCATGTTGAGAGGGATTGCACTTTAGTTTGTAAGTCTTTAGCATACAGAACTAGGAATATTGGGAGCAAGTTGCAGAGAGGAAGATTTAGGAATGATTTAAGTAAAAACTTAATTATTATTATTTTTAGGCAATTGGGGTTAAGTGACTTGCCCAGGGTCACACTGCTAGTAAGTGTTAAGTGTCTGAGGCTGGATTTGAACTCAGGTCCTCCTGACTCCAAGGCCACAGCTCTGTCCACTGCGCCACCTAGCTGCCCCGACCTGCTCACTTCCTACTAAACATTTTACAACCTATTGTTCACTTCCACCATTCAACTTAAATTGCTTTTTTAAAGGTTACCAACGACTTCTTCACTATAAATGTAACAGTCTTTTTTTTTTTTTCAGTCTTTATCCCCCTGGACTCCTTGGTAATATAGGACAGTGAAGGCCACTACCTACCTTGGCTTCAGACACCACATTCCTAGATTCTCTTTCTAGCTCTCCATTCCTCCTGCAGCTCCCTGACTTATTCCCAGTCCTTACAAATGGGGGTTCCACAGGGTCTGCCTTTAGACATCGCCTCATTTTTCTCTACACCTTTTCCTTCGGCAATCTCCATTACCACTGCTTCCAAGTCCACTTCTAATTAGATGCCTCCCAAATCTGTATCTCCAGCCATACGCTCTAGACTTAAATCACAAAATATAAGAGTGGAAAAGGATTGTACGGGCCATCCGGTACAACCCATGAATATCTGGTTGTCCAGTCTTTGCCTGAAGACTTTTAGTGAGAGAGAGCCCATTAACTTCTCAAAATGTCCATTACACTTTTGGATAATTTTAATAATTAAGTTTTTACACGGCAGCTGGGTGGCGCAGTGGATGAAGCACCGCCCCTGAAGTCAGGAGGTCCTGAGTTCAAATCCGGCCTCAGCGCAAAAACTTGACACTTACTAGCTATGTGACCCTGGGCAAGTCACTTAACCCCAAATGCGTAAAAATAATAATAATTAAAAAATAATTAAGTTTTTACTTAAATCATTCCTAAATCTTCCTCTCTGCAACTTGCTCCCAATATTCCTAGTTCTGTATGCTAAAGACTTACAAACTAAAGTGCAATCCCTCTCAACATGAGGACCTTTAAATACCTGAAGACAGCTAACCCATGAGCCCTTCCCCCAAGCTTCCTCTTCTCCACACTGAATGTCCCCAGTTCTTATCTATAATAAAAAAAATGAGGAATTATATAGCGCTTTGAGGTCTGCAAAGGTTTAAACATATTCTTTCATTGAAGCCTTACAACAACCTTATGAGGTAGGTGCTAGAATTATTCCCATCTGACTGGAAAGGAAACTGAGTCTGGAAGAATTAAGCCCACGATCACACAGCTAGCATCTGGAGTGGGACTGGAACTCCAGTCTTCCTGACGCCAAGCCCAACTTTCTTTCCAATGCACCACCGTGCTGCCTCTGCCACCTGAATGCCATCAACTCTCACACTCCGTAGGTCTAACAGTGAGCTTATTATTCCCCATAAGCCTGGTTCTTCTTCTGACTTCACTATCTCTGACTATGGCACAGCCATTCACCTAGACTCCTACATTCCCAATTTCAGTGTTATCTCTGACTCTCCATCCACATCACGTTTCATGTGTTTGCTACTTTGTCCCATTAATCCTACTATTCCAACACCACTGCCCCACCCCACATCATCTCTTTTTATTTCCAAGTGTACCACCCTATCACAGCCCTCATTATCACCCACCTGCACTACTGCAATAACTTCCTAACAAGTCTCTATCTCCACTCTCGTCACCTTCCAACCCACTCACTCTTCTAGGCTATGTCACTAATGGACTAACTTTCCTTCTGCACAGATTAGTCATTTTATAGGGCAGCTAGGTGGTACAGTAGACAGAAGGCCAGACATGGAGTCAGGAAGACCTGAGTTCAAATCCAACCTCAGGCACTTACTGCCTCTGACCCTTGGTAAGTCACTTAATCCTGTTTGCCTTGGTTTCCTCATCTGCAAAACGAGCTGGAGAAGGAGATGACAAATCATTCCAGTATCTCTGCCAAGAAAACTCCAAATGGGGTCATGAAGAATCAGACACAACTGAAATGACTGAACAACAGCAACAGAGTCATATTATTCTTCTGATCAATGATATTCAGTGGCTTTCTAGTGTCTGTCAAGTAAAGTGAAAACTTCCTTGCCTGATATTCAAGGTTCTTTGGTATCTCCTTACCTTTCCAACTGATTTTATACTATTTTTCTCCCATACAG